CTTAAAAAATTCAGTCATATTTTAAATAGAATCTCTTAAATATAAAAAATAACATAAGGGAAAGAATCTTTTGTATCAAACAAGAAAATATTTATTGTTTTGTTATATTATCTGTTGTAGGTTTATCGGAAACGAGGGCCTGCCTGATATACTACATGATTCGGCGGGAGATCCATTGTCGCCGAAACCTAGTAACAATCGAATGGTGAAGCCGATGTTTGTTTCGCAAAAGAACAATAGGAAGGATGGGGGAGCAAGTGGAGGCCTCAAAGTCGGGATGGAAGCCATAAGGATGTCCATGTTGAATGGAAGTAGTTTGGGCTCTAGTTATGATCGTAGTCACATTACAGGTAATGTATTTGTATATTATTACTGTGTAAGCTCTTCTTTAGAACGGAATCTTAAAATCAAGTCATATATCAAGACTTGAGATTTAAAGAGAAAGATCATATAAACTTAAATAAATAAATAAATAAATTAGCTTAAAAAAAAATATTTTTGTATATATTCATTATTTTCATCTTTATGATATTTTTATATTAGAATATTCTTCTTGGTTTCTATGGGTGCTTTCTGTATAAAGATTGTGTTTCGCGGGTTTTCTCTGTGTCCAGATCTATTTTTGGAATGCTAACGTTTCATGAACCTTGCAGTCCACTTCATCAAGGCGAGGAGCCTGACTGAGCTGCTCCTATTCCTTTTATATTACGCTGCTTGTTTAAGTGGTGGGGGGAGGGAGGGGGAACAAAATAAGTCCTTATCAACCAAATAGAGTCACCCATCTACCAGAACAAGCAGATAATATCCGCAAACAGGTAACTAATATCCTTTCCAAAATCAAACTCCCTTCATCAAACATCACTAGACAAGAGCGATTGGCCCTTCAAGACCTAACAGGAACACAGACATCATCGTGCTTCCAGACAAAAGCAACACGACAGTAATCATGAACACAGTAATCATGAACACATCAAAGAAAAAAATGAAGAACCTTCTCTCGGACAAAGCATACAAAAAGTTTTTAAAGATCCAACTAATGCACAGAACACCTCTTAGTCGAGAAAAGCAACATTCCCAATAAAAATCAACATTAAAACCTACAAATCCTCTCCCATCAAGACTATCAAAAATACACAAACTAAACATTCCTCTTAGACTGATTTTCAATGCCATACTCCCCGATATACAACTTATCACGCTTCCTAGCACAAACACTACAACCCTTCACTGGAGAAAAAACCGGGAGAATGGTCAACATACGGATAAAAGAACACCAACGTGATGTCAGGCTAAAACACGCCACGCGGTATTATCAGAACACAACATCAAAACAGGACATGAAATACTGTTTGACACAAAACGATCATAATAGCCAACATTACATCATACTTTCTTGGAAAGTATAGAGAAGCCATAGAGATACAAAATAATCTAAATAGAGATAATAGCTACAACATAAATAAAATATGGAAAACCATTCTCCTGATTATTGAAGACCGACTAATTTCACCACCTCCCCCTCCCCCTCTACCCACAATTCTCTTCTCCCCCCCCCTCCCTCGCCACTCCACAAGCAGCGTAATATAAAAGGAACGGCCTGAAGGAACAGCTCAATATTAAGCTGTTCTTCGCCCTAATGAAGTGGACTGCAAGAATGGATTTGGACACAGAGAAAATCCGCGAAACACAATCTTTATTAGAATATTCTTTTACACTTAGGAAAATTTTCATGCGTAAGAAGCTGAACAATATCCATATTATCATTTGCTGTGACATAAATTGTCATTCAGATTTTACAATTTTTATATTCTGTTTTATCAGGTGCGTCAAGTTCTACTAGAGGAAGCTCTGCAGGTGGATATCCTCAGGAAACTTTGAATCCGCCACCGAGTCCAGCGACGATCGTTAGCTCGACACGTTGCTCGAGTAGCAATGCATCCCGGTATAAGCCATATCGGCACTACAGGAGCATTAATCAACCGCCACCACCTACTCCATGTAGCACCGATGTTTGCGATGAGTCAGACAGCAATTATCCAGCGCGCTATCGTTACGAAAGTGAACCATTTCCACCGCCGCCCACTCCACGTTCTGTCTATCACAGCGATGCAGCGAACAGTTGCCCACCGTCTCCGAGTTCCAGATCGTCCACGTATTTTAGTCCCTTACCACCACCACCGTCACCGGTGCCTTAAGAAGAATTCGGAAGTAGAGACATATAACGCTTCGGTGCTTCTACTTTTGCATTTATTTTATTTCAATATTCCTTTATCACGACTGTATTAGTCGTTGATACTTAAATCTTATAATTACTAATTATGACTGAATCGACCATTGTGCATAAAAATTTTCAATGAAAATGCTCAACAGGTAATAATTGAAAATTCAATGGTTATTTTTATGAAACGATATAAAAAAAATATGACAAAAATATATTAGCTTTTAAAGCAATAGATTCTGTCATATAGTGAATTTAAATGCACTAATGCACACTGGTGCATATTAAGTCGTATCGATACTTGCAATAAATTTATATTTGCAATGTGTGAATAGTATTCTGCAACATCACACATTTAAGCGCAACGTGATTTTGCCTCGAACATTTGTTAGGTTTAAATGTTCAGTCCGGCTACATGGTATCGCGTCGAGTGTTATGCGATGTAATATCAATGTTGTAATATCAATGTTGATATTACGCGACGATATTGCAGTTACGATGTTTTGTTGCAAGTGGACACGGCTTTAAAGACTGTTGATTTATAAAAACGTATATATATATATATATATATATATAATAAATGTATATATAATTGAATTCAGATGCCCGACATGGGTCATTGTATTATTTAGTAGAATGCATTGGAGCACTTTATTCATAATCAGAATGGACTAAACTGAGTAGAAAAAGGTCTTTTACCATTGCAATTTTCGCAATAGTTAACAAGATATTAATTATTAAAAATTGTCGAAAATTGGTTTTCGATAATTTTTTACTCAAATACTATCAATTTTATAGAAAAACTACAAGAGGCAAAAATTGTTTATTTTTTTCTCATAGAGCTCTAAGAATTTTTTCAGCTTGCGAAAGATTTATCGTTATTTTCCAAACATTGTATATATGCGTAAAATATACACATAACATACAATTTGCTTTAATCTGCACCAGTGTATCAATCAAATTTGCTGTTTAATTACTCGTTAACGTAATAATGAATAGTTTCGTTAAAAATACTGTAAGTATTTCTATGTAATCGTACAAATGATTAAGATAAATTGTACACAATAGAACATGCCGGAGCAAAAATCTAATCCGAGAAAGCATTTTCTCGTGTCACTTTTCATTTCGAGTTTTGTATTTTTTATATAAAATCTTTAATATGACATAATTTGTGAGCGTTATCATATATACAATACGGTATATTAGATTTTGGACAAATAAAAGTTTTTTCATAACTCTCATTTACTCATTAACGGTCATTTTTGGGATAAAACTTCTATTACGGAAAGAAATTTAAGCGATATAATTTTAAGTTTAATTTTGGAATGTAATAGAGTTTTCCAGAAAAATAATGATATATTAATCTAACGATTGAAATCAATCGTAGTTTAATTAAAATTTATATTGTAATTATTATAATTATATCTGTTATATATATATATATACGACAAGTCATATAATTATATTATGCAATTATGTAACATAATTTCATTATATATTATGTAATTATTGTAATGGCCTTTAATGTGTTAAACTCAAAAGCAACGAATGGCAAGACTTTTAGACTGATAGAAATATTATTATTCCCGTAAGATTTTACTTGTAAATATATATGTTAATAACTCATTGAACTCTGCATATTGGAAGATGCTTTTCCATATGATTTTCACGTTAAGAATGTTAGGAGATGGCTGTATTCTTTAAATATATGCATTGGACAGTGTGAGTTCATTCTAACAATTATGACATTAAATATATTTTTATTCGTAGGATAACAATACACTAAATTTTTTTTATTGAATTGTACTGGGAAAAAAACAACTGCCTTGGAATATTTTTTAGCACGTTCCATAACAGAGTTCAGTGTAATAATTATACCACTGTGCCTGCTATACATTTTGATAGTTTGTAATGTACAGAGAAAAGATCATTTTACCGCGGAAACTTTTTTTGTAAATATCTAGCTTTAGCGTAGTTTGTATAAAATTACATCACATACGCTACATTATACTTGCAAAAAAAATAGTGTACATGACTATAACTTAAAAAATGAGCATTAGAGAAATATTTATCTCAGCAGACGTCTTTTTTAATCTACAAGTACTTTATAGATGCATTTATCTGTATTAATTGTGATATCAATGTATATCATATTATTATTATCATCATCGTTAACAACATGTATATGTTATTCATAATTTAATTGATATGGCAGTTAATCAAAGGCTGCGTCTCATATATATTTTATTATTACATTTATGACACTTTCCGTTTCTTTACCCTAAAAAGGTGACGGTTTTATATATATCGTATTTATAAATTCTTTACGAAAAGTGTAAGCGTGGTAGAGAGAAAAAAGCAGTATTTGCCTTCCTACCATAAGATATTTTTATGTTTCCTGTTAATAATCATTTGTTCGCTAATTATCGTACCTTTCGAAATATATTTACGAGAGTTCGACATATATCCGTCTTCGTGCATTCACACATGTACACACATTCATACAGATACACAGACTAGACATAGTAACAGAAATTATCGAAATCTTTTAGCAATAATCAGTGTATTTTACATGTATATCGTTTACATAGTAACTGCGCACCATACGATGTATATACCATGTTAATGCAGAAACGTTTATCGTTAACGTACATATCCGTTTTTGTGTAACGGCGAGCGAATGAACAACGAATGCGAAATCGAGAACTCTGTTTCGTGTCACCTGGTGAGCGAATGTTTCGTTCGTATCTTCCGAGCCTCTTGGTTTTTTTCTGGCTATTTATTTTTTCAATATCACATTATCCTTCTTACTCCTCTTGTAAGTTCTTCCTTGAGGAAAACCAGGAAGGCCTGTTAATGAAGAAACACAAGTACAGGAAAGTTTCTGTTAATCCTGCAATATAGATCTTTTTAGCTAGAGATCTTTTTAGCTTTCCATTTTGATTAAGAGCCTTCCTCTTTTTCCCTGTTATCTTTTCCGTAATCTCTATTTCTGCTCATCATTCATGGGGATGAAAATATTGATCTTCCGAAATTCAACTTTCTAATCTTACATTCGTTGTTCATTCATCTGATGCTTCGCATCGCAATTCGCAAGCGTAATTCGCCGCCTTTCGGGAAACCTGTGCCATAAATTGTACAATAGTTTTGTATGATACGCGTAACTGTATTACAGCCTGTATAAAATACGCAAGGATCGCAAGGACTTCTACCTCTCATTGCGATTTCGAAACGCCTTTTGAAGAGAAGAGAAAAAGAGAACGTTTATAATAAATTACTATTATTCTCGTGTGCGGAAGACTGAAAAATTACTGCCTATATTATTTTTACATCCTCGCAATTTACGCGCGCGTGCGTTCTTTTGCGTAGTCTCTTATGTAGTATATTTATACAGTGAATAAACTTGTTTGTTAACGTAAATCTCCATCAAGAATTTTTTTCATAACTTCGCTTCGATGCGATCAACTTTCAATAACGGGTGCGTCAATTATTTACCTAATATTATAAGTAATTGCTTTAAAACGATCGAAATGAAATTTTAGGGAATAATTGGAGTGAATAATCAATACAAGAAATCACATCACATGAAATCTATTTCCACTTTGTTAAGAGAAGAACCGCGATACTTGCTCGATGAACCCTCCCTCTCGTCCTGAATTGCCAACTCCTCGTCGAGCAATAACTTGAAGTTATCCAAAGCTTTCGGGAAAGGTAGTTTATTCCATGCTAATCAGACCAACTGTAAATTTTAATCTCGTAAATTTACTTTTGAGATTTTGATTTTTGTTGGAACATATCGTACACTTTTACTCGGGCATACCATCCGGAAGCAGAACCATGCACCGATATGATATTGTCGATTAATTTATACTTCAAGATCCTGTCATTCACTGTCATGGATGTGAAAAACAGCGAGGCGTTTATCCGTGAAAAAATCAAAACTTTGATGTTTCCGAAACTTAAAGGTTTTTATTGACAAGGAGATATGCGGAAGTCACATGTATTTTTATTATCATAGATAATTAAAACATTTATGTATAATAGTTAAATATGAAATAAGGTCATAGTATCAAGATATGAAAGTCGAATAAGAATGATCTAAAATGCACACGTGCAAAATGGCACGCAGAATGAAATCACGCTCAATCTGATCAAATCAAGTGAATTCTGAAATATTCTGAAATTTCTCATATAATTTTTAAAAGGTATTTTTAAATTTTTTAGATTTTGTTACATTTCATCAGAAATTATACTTACAAAAATCTTAAAAATCTTACGATATTTCATAATTAACATATATGAAAAATTCTGAGAAAAGATGTAGATTTTCTGAGAAATGTTCCAATTTGTATAAAAAATGTGAGAAAGTTATAAAATTGTAGAGAAATTCTGAAAAATTTTATAGAAATAAAAAATTATATGAAAAATTCTGAGAAAAATTTTCACTAGAATAACACGGAATACACCTTTAGTTTTTAGGACAAGTTAAGTTTTAAGAAGTTTAAATAGAAAAAGGACAACAAGCAATATAAAAAATGAAAATAAGCATAAAAAATATAATGTTATAACTTAAAACAATTACATTGTTGAAGGTGAAAGGTTATGACATTGATGATATATTACTTTCAGTATGTGTCTACTACTTCATTGTTCAATATCATTTATAGCATATTGTCTAAGCAGAAGTAAAGAGTCATCAAAATGGCGTTCATATAGCTTCATAATAATTAATAACAATTTTTCAAACAGTCACGATTCACACATTTTAATATCCATTTGATTATTATCGTGACCTATTATACTACTTAGGTGATTGCTACTTTATATACGCCATTCATATATGAATAATTAAAACCTTTGCTTCCAAAAACTTTTCGTTATCTAAATATCAATAATAATTTTTTGTAGAAAAAAATGACAAAGATTTTAGACAAATAAAATAATTATGAGATAAAATGTGAATATTTATAAATTCATTAGATTGAATTCATTAGAATATTGTCTGTATAATGATACACAGGATTGGGAAAACAACCTAGATAGAATAAATGTCTTTGAGGTTGCCATCATGTTGCTGACAATTTCTAATTTGTCATTGTGCATTTTAGGTTGTACTTATATGAATTCGACATTAGATTACAGCAAATTGACGGTAATTTGTTGACATTGATATATTTTCTCAACGAATTGATTTCTGACTGCAACATAATGGTATTTATTGTCAGAAATCGTCTGCGACAAACAGCAAGTTCACAGCAATATGATGGTAACATATAAAGAAATATTAATGATGTTCATATGATAACATTAATATTACCTTGCGAATTATACTATAAAAATATAGTCCATATAGTCTATATAGGATATCCCAAATTTTTTTACATACCTCTTATGGGCAGATAGAGCAGACAAACTGAGTCGAAAAGTTGTCTATCATTTTGCAATTTTTTTTTAGTTATCTAATGAGTGCAATGTCTAAAATCTAAAATACATAAAACAACTTAATTTAAGATATCTTTAAGAGTTCTGTAAGAAACATCTTTAAGATATCTTTAAGAGTTCTGTAAGAAACATCTTTAAGATAGATTTCATAAAAAACTCTAAAAGATGTCTTAAAGTTGTTTTATGAATCAATTTTATCCACTTATTCGGCTTATTTCTATTAGGTGTTGGAATTAATTCGTAGCGTTTTACAAGTGATGGGAAGTACTTTCATTAATGTATTTTTTAATGCTCATGTGAAATAAATAACATTCTTTCATTAAAAACGCTACGAATTAATTCCAACACCTAATAAAAAATTTTTAGAGTTCTATGAGAAGAAAATAAACAATTTTTGTCTCTTGCAGTTTTATCTGTAAAGTTGATAGTATTTTAGTAAAAAATTTTTGAAGAGCAATTTTCGATAATTTTTAGTAATTAATATCTTGTTTATTATTACAAAAATTGTATTTTGTGTTTTCTTGTCAGTTTAGTCCATTCTGTTTCAGTGCGAAAGCTTTATCATTACTTATCAAACACCCTGTATATGCGCGCGCGTGTGCGCGCGCGTGCGTGTGGGTGTGTAATGATAATAAAATAATTATTATAATCATTAAATTTATCTGATTTGAAGATAGAGACTGTACGAAAATGAAATATTTATTTAAAAAATTCATTACATATACAATTACTATCCTGCTTGCATAAATAAAAAAATAACACAATATTATATATACATATTATTTATAATATAAACTATACATTTTCAATTGAAGACAAATATGCAGCACACAAAAAGAATCATTATCACTCTGTTGTTGCTGTCACATTGCTAGTAACATATCATATTAATATTTCTGATTGCTTGCTTTAAAAATTCCATCAACTAAATACTTGTATAATCATCCATGTTGCTTAATAAGATAAATACTTGATATGATAAACAAACAACTATTCAACACTCATGCAGTGCATTAGTTTGCTCGATATGATTAATCACGCGTTTGGTTATCTGAAAACTTTTTGAAAATAATTAATTACAGTTTAGCTCTTTATTTTTCATAAAGGAACTATTTACTGTTACCAATCCTAAAAAATAACAAGTTACAGTTATAAGGTGTTTAACATTTGATAACAACAAGGATGCATTATGCAGATCATGCGTGAAACAAAATACAATAGTTGCTTAAAATGTAACTTTTCAATTATTTCAATTACTTTCCTGTTCATTATTCTTATCGTTATAAAATACTAAAGGTAACATTTTGATGAACTATTAAGATTAACAAAGAAAAAAAATAGATTTACGTTACAGAAACTATACGCAAGCTCTTACACAAGTTTTAAAATGATTTTTAATTTTTTTTTTCTTTTCTGATAAAGTTTCCTACAATAATTTATTTCTGAGTTTACAAGATAAATTATTCGTTTTGTAACATTTTCTTTAAAATGGCATAACTTTATAAAAAAAAATTTGTAAAAAAATTTTCAAAATCTGAATTTGTCAAGAAATCAATGCGCTTTAAAATTCATATATTTTTGTGCCATGTAGCCGATTCGTCTAAACAATGCAATAATTTAAATATAAATTTTTTTTTCTTATTTTCCAATGTCTGCCTTTAACGTACGCCATTTTATAATCTACTTTGTGAAACTCAAATTTGATTTTCAAGGCTATCAACGAGAATGTTTGAACTTTAATTTGAACTTTGATTTATCTCGATAGGATGATTTTTCATTGAGTTACCGCTATTTAAGATATTACAACTTTGTGCTAAAATTTAGTGGACGATTTTTTATCGGTAAATATAATATTCTTTCATATAATTTTCTTTTCATTATAAAATGAGTAAAATAATAAAAACACATTAGATTATAATTTATAAGTTACATTTTTATGTACACAACAGACATTTTCAATTAATTAATCTAAAACTTTTAATCAGCAATGTAGATGAAATGATAATGACATCGGATTATACCACCTCTTACAATCCATACTATAAGAGGTGACATTAATATAAATATTTTTCATCTTCATTCTACAACATAAATGGTACTATAATAATTGCAAATATCAACAGCAAGTATAATCGATCATGAATATAAAAGCTAAAATATAAATAAAGGTTGGGAAGCAATTAATATAAAAAAATTAAAAGTTACATGATAAGCTTCAAAAGTTTATAACTTTTAAATAACTAAATTAATTTTAAATAAGTTAATTTTTAACTTCAACTTGTTATGTTGTAAAACACATTAATTTTACCCTATTAATTTTTTCAAAGTTAGTCTTTTTTGAAACTTGAAACTTCTCTTATAAAATAATTAAACAATTTAAAAAATCCAATGATCGTAATGAGCATAACAGCTTGATTGTCTACTTATACTTCTTTTGAGTTTAAAAAAAAGATGAAAAAAGATATTTTATTGAAAAGAACTGTTTCTGTTAATCAAAATTTTGTTTAAATAACGCGTGCAATGTAGATTATTTTATAATAATCACTAACATCTATTTAATTATTATTATTTCAATCTAAATTTCATACGTAATTTTTCTTTGTAATTCTTTAAAATTATTATTCGATTTTCATAATAAAAGAAAAAATGCATATTTCCATATAAAAAAATAGGATAACTAGTATATACGCCGCAGCAAAAAAAAACTTACTTTAAGTAGAGGAAAGTCGCTGATACCGACATAGGTCTTTTAAAGCGACATCCCTTTATTTCTCAGAAACTATAGGGAAGATCGGGGTGGGGTAGACTATCAGTAGACTAAATAGAATAACTAAATAAAAACTTGAGGCTACGTTACAAATCGCGCGAAACACGCGTAAACGTGTCTAAGTATTCAGCGACTGCCGCTGTTTGCTGTGATATTTCGACGCGTCTGTCGTAGAAGTTACGCTACAATTTAAAAAATCATACACGTAAGTAAATATTTTTATTCTTAAAGTTTTTGTTTTACAATCGCATATAATTGTCTGAGATATTTGATTTCCATTTAAATAGTAAATGTAGTTCATACTTAATAAGTCCAAGAAATTTTTTTTGTTTATCTATCTTTGTTATCGTATACTGCTAATATTTAAAAAAAAAAAAAAAGAACGGATGGACTAGTAAGCTAACCATAAATGGGACTAATATTATTGAACTCTTAATATATTTACTAAGGTACATTATCATATTACTAATTTTTATGTAATTAATATTAATTCTTTTTGTTCACGGTTACTTTTCCAGAATTTTCTTATGACTTTGTTAATTCTTGATAAAAATGACTCGCAGCGTATTACATAGAAAGAAAAATTTTATATCAATGAATTGTAATAATATTGTAAGACCATGTATAGATTTTTAATTTAGAACGATGTTTATATTTTTATAAGATTACATTGAAAATGACTCGATTGGAGTTGAAACGTTTGTTTATTTTAATTATTTTGTATTAATTTTGCTTATTTAAATTAAAATTCTTTCATACGTTTGGCTCTTTGCCCTTCTTGTATACTACTTTTTGCTATATGACTAATTTAGTGATGACGACTCCATATAACAATATCACATCATCATTGGCTGATAAATTATTTTACTCCTAAGCACATTTATAATAATTATACTTGAAATTACTTCAAATTGCCTATTAAAAAATGCCCTTAGTGGGATTTCAACCTGGATTGAATCTTCTGCATTACCAGTTACATCACTTTTTCAATTGATAAGGGTGTTATTTATTGCCTCTCTCTCTCTCTCTCTCTCTCTCTCTCTCTCTCTCTCTACAGTCTTATTGCTGGTAACCGAGCGTGATGATTTCTCTCATATGCCTGTGGTTCTGTTACTAACTACTCATGGTGACCATCATAGTTTAAGATAATTTAAGATTTATCGATGTAGCAACACAGCTGAAGATAGCTCGAAGTGAGCCGAAACATTCGTTATACTTATGTGAAAGTTAAACATATTATTTTGAAAATGTAATCACACTAATTACCGCGCACTAATTATTAAAGCTTTCAATTATTAATTTTTTAATTAATTATTAGTTTAATATCTAATCTTGAGAGAGCTCAATTTTTATTTATTTTAATTAACTTTAATTTAACTCAGTTGACAGAAAATAAGCTTATATTTAACTTTGCATGAAATATACAGTATTTTTTTAGATTATCCTAGATTATTCTAGAGTATATAAGAATCATGGATGACAAAGAAACATGTAGATCGTGGAAGGATATTGATTCCAGTGAGGAAATTGTTATTTCTGGTATTGCTGGTAGATTTCCTAATTCAGATAATATGAATGAATTAAAAGAAAATTTATTCAATAAAATTGATCTTGTAAGTGCAGATCATAACCGATGGGAAACAGGTGATTAATTCGTATTCTTATGGTACTTATTAGGGTAATTGATATTTTAACAATTTTTGAAATTTAATCAAGACATTCCTTAAAATGGTTCAATATCTATATCTGTAACTTAATGTTCCAGGCATCTATTTTGCATATTTAACCCTTCGCCATTAAATTAATTTTTAAATTAATTATAAATCTTTTTGGAACATGCTGTAAAATATAGGTAATTTAGGCAACCGATTGCCTCCTTTGAAAGTATCATCTATAAAGAAATAATATCAGATTTTTCAGATTTTTTGAACAATTATCGCCACTAGAGCACAGTATAAGCGGAAAGATATGTTTGTGGACAAAATTTGGCCGACGCTTTAATTCGTAACCAATTTTAAAGTTCTTTTTTTTAATTTGTTCGAAATTAAATGAGCTATAAATTCATTTTGTGTAAATTTTAATTACGATCAAAATAAAAATTGCCGATCCAATGAAGACGGCAAAAAAACTTAATTATATGATAACGAATATTGAATCGGCAATTTTTAATTGAACCGTAATCAAAATTTAAGCAAAATGGGTTTTTAGCTCATTCAGTATCGAGCAAATTAAAATAAAAACTTTAAAATTTGTTAAGAATTAGAGCATCAATCGAATTTTGTCCATAAAAGTGTTTTTTCGCATATCCGTGCCTCGATGGCGTGGATTAAAATTGTTTAAAATTTGAAAAAAATCTGTTTTTTTTTTAGATATTTAACGACTTTAGGGAATGTCCCGATTAAATTTCAAAAATTGTTAAAAAATAACAACCAAAAAAAAATAATCGTTATATATTATATAATATATTATATAATATTTTTACAATTATGCTTGTTTGATTAAGACAGTATATACCACTCTTTCTGTACTAAATATCATTACATGTTTATTAGTGAACAAAAAAGTATACCTCAAATTAAAATTTCATACAAAATAATAATCAAAGAACATAAAATCCTTATGTAAATATATCTACTTTTAGGGCATGCGGAATTGTCACGCCGTATGGGAACTATCAATAATATAGAAAAATTTGATGCGGATTTTTTTGGATTATCTTTTGATCAAACACACACACTTGCACCTGAAGTGAGAATGTTATTGGAACATTCTTACGAAGCAATTATGGATGCAGGGATCAATCCAAAGCAATTACGAGGAAAAAATACTGCCGTAATTACAGGATCATCATATATTGAAACACAAAAAACATTGCTTTTTAGAGACATTCAGGTAAAAAAGATATATATAGAAGCGAAATATATATACAGAGGAAAGTTGTATCAATTTGAACACAAATGAGCATTAGAAATTGTAACTTAATGTTCCAGACATCTATTTTGCATACTTAACTTTTTGCCATTAAATTAATTTGTTATAAATCTTTTTGGAACATGCTATAAAATATAGGTACAATTTAGACAACCGATTGCTTAAATCATACCTCCTTTGAAAGTATCATGTTATAAAATATACATAATATATGACATGTGTCATATAAGAACAGATTCAGTCATCTTTTTGTACTATTTTTATATGTAACATATTATGCTATATGTCAGTGTTCACAAAGATTTACACATTTCGGGCTGATTCAGATCTCACCACTGCTCGAGGCTCGGCGCTTATATAATGGAGCGTCCCTATACCAGAAATATACTGTGAGCGTACCTTCCGCCAAATTATTATTGAAACATTTTTTTATTAAATAATTTATTTCTATTAACATAAAATTTTCTATTGTTAATTTATTCATTGTTCTTTAATAATATACTTATATCTTAATGTAATTAATACATTACATAATTATAACGTACATTTCGACAATAGCTTTCCACATCACCCAAGAGGTACTATTGTAAGATGCATTTTTTTTAATGTGGCTTTCCCAGTAAGCCTATTCAACAAAAAGAAGAATTAAATACTCGAATGTGACTTGGCAGGAAAACAAAATTATATATGTTATACGATATATAATTCTGATTTTTCTTTTCGATTCTTTCGCCGGACGCCGAGTTTCGAGCGGTGATGGCGATCGCTCGCTGAAATCAGTCCGAAATGTGCAAATCTTTGCGAGCTATATGATATATATAAATGTAATATATGTATAAAAATATTATATAGTACAAAGAAATGGTAAATATTTATTTTAACAATGATATCAATTTCAATGTCCTTTTAATATGTTGTAGAGAAGAATGTCCTGAGTGATTCCATAAGATTTAAGTAGAGGATGGCATTGGTTTAGAACATATAGTAAATTAAAGTTTCATAATAAAGTCATACTAATTTCCACGCGAAGCGACTTTCACCTTACCTTCCCTCTATCAAGGGGCTCGCTACGCGTAACTTTCACCCCATTTCCCTATTGTTTAGAAGCGCACGACTTCCACGCGAAGCGACTTTCATCCCACCTTCTCCCTGCTTCGGGGCGTGTGACTTTCCAAAGAAATATGATGAAATCTCGGAAAGTTGTATATTACTAAATTTTACTTCATGCATTACTAAATTTCTCTCCGTAAAATCTATTCTTGGGCATTCTGAATCTGCGAATGATTTTAATCAGATTACTAAGATAAAATAAATAGTGTTTCCGGTTTTGTCTATTATAAAATTTATTTTCATTTGATATAGTTTGATAAATTAATAATTCTTATATATTAGTAGTATATGGGCCGTCAAAACAAACTCCGTGAGAAAAAGGTGACGAGTGTAAAAGGGGACGAGATTAGAAGTAAGAAACAGACGGAATTTACATAATCAAAAATGTTTATTTTAAAAAGAAAAAAAGTGATATTAATATAAAATATTTATTTTATATTTTATTTTTTAAAAGACGATTGAACATGACGGCATGCAGCATGAGAATTTATTTTTTTATGTTTACAACGAAGAAAAATTTATGAAATAACTGTATGATCAATCGATCATTACGTTTCGAATCAGAGGTAAACAGACTGAGAAACTGGCTAAGATTATAACAATTACACATAAAATATAGAAATACACAGCAGTATTGACTCCAAGTTTGAGAAAGTATTCCTTGCACCGTCGTCGTATTCTAGCAATACTTGGTGAAGTTTCGGCGAAGTCGTAAGAGGAATCTTGAGTCCAAGGGTAGCAAAACGTAGCTATCGAAATATGTATGTATTCGTCGATGTAGAAGGCGACCCAGTGCTGGCCATGTCGATCGTGATTGTCTGTGTTAGCGACAATGGTAATCGATTTCGTCCACACCCTCGGTAGTTGGTCGACAGGATAGACTGCATGTCGGACACTGAAATGATGTAATGCATTTAAAAGTACTTCCAGTGAATTCATTTCTTGTCATCGGAGAGCGTGAGGAAGGAAATGTTTGCGCAAATTCAGAATTTACCTCTTTTGCCGGCATGTGTGTTGTAGAGTTCTCAAAATTTGCAAAATGCTAGTGTTAGTTTTATTTCTATCCGTCAATGATATGACGGGATGAATTTTGGAAGATCTTTTTTCTCCTTGCCTGTCGCTTGTTTGTCCCCGCTTTGGTTCGACTTTTCTGTCATGATATTTTTCCTTCATGCTTCCATGTGTTTTTTTTTGCGAAATATATCGTGTTTCTGATTTTTAAATTGAATTGAAAAATTCCCGCTGTCTGTTTTTAAGAAATTTATTCTCTAAAAACGAATAAACCACCACACCGATTATGACAACGCGTACCAGCATGAATTTGTTCATTTCTGTTTTGTCTCCCCTTTCTCTCTAGAGGAAGCAAGAGTCTCCCGAAAATTCTCATAAAAATCCTCGTCATAAATAATAAGAAAAAAAACCCTTTCATTAAAACATCAGCAGGAGACATTGCAGCAAAAAAAAATGACCTACAGAACAGAAACTGTGTACTTCATATCCGTTGACCGTACTTTCCTTCCTCCCCTTCCGTAATGAACAAATTTCTCAACAATTTTCCTCGATTTTCCCATCCACCATTTTGTCACAGTATTTATTCCTGCCGACGCCTCACCCTTTTTCAGTCATTGCGTAGATGACTATGGACAGAGCCAATCAGCGTGTGGGCAGCTATGGACCGAGCCAATCAAAACGCGCCATTTAATTATCTCGTTACCCCCACTCTCACGTCACCGACCAATCAGAGCGCACCATTTTCCAGACAGCCCCCGCTGCCGGAGATGGGGATTTATTTTGATGGCTCATGGCTGCCCATATGACTACATATATGACTGCCTTTTTACCCAAATTTGATTGATTTTTCAACATAGTCTTTTTTTTTAAAAATTACTGACATTTATCGAACTGCCCATGTACATAATGTATGATTAATCAACTTTTTACAAATTCATTCAAATTCACACTTCAGAACTGTTATTATAACTATTAGATAAAAATAGCATTTGAAACTGTCTCATCAAATATAAGAAAAGATATATATATATATATATATATATATATATATATATATAAATGCTTTGATAAATAGCTGTGTTTGTGTAGTCCTAAGTAGGAAAGATGGGATGGAGTGAAAGTCGCTTCGCGTGGAAACGCCCCTAAGCAGGAGGAAAAGGATGATTGTTTACATTCTTTAAGAGATTAGTACGTTATATACAAATTTAATTTTCGTAATATACCTCTTATGCTAATATTATTCTCTGCATATTATAGAAATTTAATTTACTATATCTTCCAAATCAATGCTGTCCCCCACTTAATTCTTGTAGAGAATCACTCAGAACACTCTCTCCTACAACATAGATACGTAAAGGACATCGAAATTAGTGAGGTGGCATCTAAAAATAATAAATATTTACCACAGAAATGATTGAATCTACTGAATCTATTATTTATGTACGGAAATTGCAAATGTTTTGTAATTAGATAAATGAAAATGTTTATGGATGCCATAAATCTGCAGTGGCAAATATGATTTCGTATTGCTTGGATCTGAAAGGACCATCTTATAATATCGATGCAGCATGCAGTTCTAGTCTTTATGCTCTAGCCATTGGTTATGAATATATCATGTCAGGCAAATGCGAAGACGCAATAATTGGAACAACAAATTTATGTCTTTATTCCATAATAAACCTGCACTTCAGTCGACTTGGTATTATCAATATTTATACTTTGTATTTTCATTAAAATTTGGTAGTCTTGTAATGTAATAGGCATGACATTTAGAGAATCACGTAAACCATTTCTCATTTACAAAAAAATAAATTTTAAAAAATCATTTACAAAAACTACAATGTATAATTTCAATAAAAACCGTTTCTAACAACATATTTAAAACCTAAAAAATACCATATTAGAAGATACCATGAAAATAATCATTTTGATTTAAACATAATCCATTATACACACGTTCAAATATGCTTACTTCTTAGGTGTTTTGTCACCCAACGGTATTTGCAGTCCATTTGATATCGCTGCTAACGGTTATTCGCGTAGCGAAACAATTGCAGCAGTATATCTTCAAAAAGCGAAAAATGCTAAGAGGATTTATGCCATATGTCCCCATATAAAATTAAACGACGATGGTTTCAAAGAAGAAGGAATAACATATCCTTCATCACAAATACAATGTACCTTATTAAAGGAATTTTACGAAGAATACAAACTACCAACATCTTGTTTGGATTATATCGAAGCACATGGTACCGCTACCAAAGCTGGTGATCCACAAGAAGTTAATGCTATCTATAACAGTTTGTGTAAAAATAGAGAAACTCCATTAATGATCGGCTCCGTGAAATCTAATCTCGGGCATTCTGAGCCTGCAAGTGGTTTTAATCAGATCGCTAAGGTAAAATAAATGGTTTTCAGTTTTATCTATTATTACAAAATTTATTTGATATAGTTTGATTATTTGTAATTTTTCTATACTACTGTCTTTTTACCAAAATTTGATTTATTTTTCAATACAGTCTTTTTTTAAAAAGTCTGCACTGGTTTATCAAACTGTCCATGTACATAATGTATGATTAGTCGGCATTTTACAAATTAATTTAAATTCACACTTCAAAACTGTTATTATAACTATTAGGTAATAATAGGATTCGAAACTGGTTTTGTTCCACCAAATATTAATTATACATCGCCAAGGAAAGATATAGATGCCTTATTAAATGGGAGCATTCGTGTCATCCAAGAACAAATGCCACTCAAAAACGGTTGTGTAGGAATCAATTGTTACGGTTTTGGAGGATCAAACGCTCATATGTTATTGAAGTGGAATCCCAAACAGAAAATTAATAATGGAGCACCAAATGATGATTTACCTAGACTTGTCATATTATCTGGACGTACTGAAGAATCTGTGAAGTTATTTTTAAATGATGTTAGTTTAGATTTTTTAAAAATATTTCGATATTACTTTGAATAATTGGAGACGTTATGTCTTTAATTTTAATTTTTAAAACTTTATTATTACAGATTGCTAACCATCCAATAGATGTAGAATATATTCGCCTGTTACATGATATTCATGCAGACAATATAACGGGTCATCCATGGAGAGGGTATATAATATTGAATTCTTTTCAACAAGATTCAATAAAGGAAATCCGAAATTATGAAGGCTTGAATAGACCTGTCTGGTTTATATTTTCAGCCTTAGGTTCGCACTGGCCAGGAATGGGTACATATTCAATATTTTATTAATAAATCACGTATCACTATTAAATGATATAATTTATAAACTAAACTCTTATTAGGTCAAAACTTATTAAAGTTCCATGTCTTTGCTAAAGCGATAAGAAAGTGCGATGATATTTTAAAGCCGTATGGTATAAGTGTCATAGACATTATGACAAAAATGGAAGAAAGCATATGCGAAAATAGGTTAAACGTTTTTCTCGGAATCGTCGCTATTCAGGTAAAGAATTCATTATTATTATTATTATATATATATATATATATATATATATACAGTGACTCGCATTAATATTCGGACATCATAATAATAGAGAAATTATTAATTTTGAAATATAGTTTTTATAGGATTAAGAAATTTATGGTTTTTTAATCATTGGAAATGCTCATTATAGATGTAAAAAACATTAATTTTCTTTATTTAACTAAAGTTTTCAATGTAAAAAATATTAAATAAGTTAATCCTTAAGTTTAGAATCGCAAAAATATTCGGACACTCAATATATTTTATATTTACTGACCCTCGGAAATCAAGTTAGTTTATTCGTTACTTGTTTACTGTGAAATAAGGCAAAATATGTGACTTATTTCATGTTGAATTGAGTTAACCTAATTTCCTCAAGATCATATAAATTAACAGTGAAAATGAGACGTAAAGGCAAAAATAGTTCATTTGATAAATGCCAACTTGTTATTTTTCATTAAAGGGCAAATTATATCGAAAAAGTAAATTAATAAATTTGAGTAAGAGTACGGTAGCAGATATTGTAAAAAGATATATTCGTGAAGATCGCATTGAATCAATACCTCAGAAAGGACATCCAAAATTACTTGACTTATGAGATAAATGTAAAATTATTAAGAAAATAAAAGTAAGTCCTGGATTAAGAGCTATAAATTTGATCTGAGAATTATACGAAGAGACTAATAAGAAGATACATCCTCAGTTAGATACAACTCGTCGAGCATTAAAAGAAAGTGGTAAAGTTGCTCGTAAAAAGCCGTTCATAAATGAAGCGAATCGGAAGAAAAGATTAATTTTCACCAAGGAATTTATTTCTAAAGAACAAATATGGTGGAATGATGTAATATTCGCTGATGAGAGCAAATTTAACATTTTTGGATCTGACGGACGGAAAATGATATGGCGAAAAGCAAATAAAGAATTCCAACTGAAAAATTTAAAGCCAACTATGACACACGGCGGTGGAAGTTTAATGGTTTGGGGTTGTATTTCAAGTAAAGGTGATGAATTAGTTTTCATTGACGGAATTTTGGATAAAAATAAATATTTAAGTATTCTAAAAGACAATTTAATAAAAAATACTAATAATATGAATATACGAGGTAGTTTTAAATTTTATCAAGACAATGATCCAAAACATAAATCGCGAATAGTGCAAGAATATTTATTATACAACTGTTCAAAAGTATTACATTCTCCACCAGATTTAAATCCCATAGAAAATTTATGGAATTTATTAGATCGTAACATTCAGATTACGTCTACAAGATCAAAAGAAGAACTAAAATTACGATTAAAAGAGGAATGAACGCGCATTACACCAGATTATTAACAAAAATTATTTCAAATATGCCTAATGTTTGCAGCATGTTATTAAATAAAAAGGTTATCCAACAAAGTATTAAAATTATTATCAATCATTTCGTTTATATATATTTATATTATTATATCTTGTTAAGTGTCCGAATATTTTTGCGATATCAATTATACATATTTGTAAATAGAACACGTTTTCTAATGTTGTTATTTTCCATAAGAACTAAAATAAAAAAAAATGTTTCATATTTTATTATTGTAACAAAAATAAGTATTATAGTATATAATGTTTACTTATAAAATTATTTATACATATTTGTAGATTGGCTTAGTAGATCTCCTAACATCTTTAGGAATTACTCCTGATTACATGATTAGTCACTCTGCTGGTGAACTTGGTTGTGCATACGCAGATAAGTGTCTCACTATTGAACAAACTATTTTATCAGCATACTTTATTGGTTTGGCATGTGCCGATGAAAAAATAATTCATAGCTCGATGATGGTTGTCAATATCAATTACGAGCATCTTAAAAATATATGTCCAGCGAATATTGAAATAATATGCTACAATAGTGACAACAGCAGCGTCGTATGTGGATCAAAGGAATCCATAGAAGAATTTATGAAAAAATTACAGGTAGAATTAAAATAGCTTTCATATAAATTAGTGGATAAAAAAAATACTAAAACATTGAAAAATTAATTTTATATCATAATTTACTGCAGCTGCATGTATTACATTTTTTAATAATCAGGTCAACAATATTTACGTGAAGAAGATCAACTGCAACATACCATTTCAAAGTTCTTAAGTTCTTACGTTGCATCCGTGGAAAGTCAGCTTCTGCTTAGTTTAAATAAAATAATACTATGCCCAAAAAAACGGAGTTCAAAGTGGATCAGCACTTCTATACCTCGCACCAAATGGTTTACTTCAACATCAAATCAGTTATCATCGGCAGACTATCACACTCAATGTATATTAAACAAGGTCCTTTTTTCACAAACAACGGAATTAATTCCAAGTAACGCTGTGGTCATCGAAATCGCACCAGACGATGTTCTACACTACGTTTTGACAAGCTCTTTACCTCCAAACGTGACAAACTTAGTATTAACACGACAAACCAAAAAAGATATTAATACAATTCTACAAGGAATTGGAAAGCTTTACAATTGCGGTTTACAGCCACAAGTTGCCAATTTGTACCCATCAGTTGAATTTCCAGTTAGTCGAGGAACTCCTATGATTTCTCCATCAATCAGGTAAATATCATAGTAATTATAACTTAGATAATGTCTACATAAGAAAAAAAAAAATATATATATATGTATGTATAAATATATGTATTATTAATTATAAACATGCAATTAGATGCAATTATTGATCATATAATATAAAATATTTATTTATTAGGTGTTGGAATTAATTCGTAGCGTTTTTTAATGAAAGAATGTTATTTATTTCACATGAGCATTAAAAAATACATTAATGAAAGTACTTCCCATCACTTGTAAAACGCTACGAATTAATTCCAACACCTAATATATTAAGATGGCCCAGTAATCGTCACGTTAACCAAAACGCTTGACTTTGCAAATTTATATTTTTCAGTTTGAAAAGTGAATGACTGTTATTTTAGATTATTTTAAATAAATTTTTTGTGACGAATAAAAACGTCACTCTAATATTCTTGTATTTACTGCCGTTGTTGAGAAAATCCTTTATAAAAATTAGAAGGCACAAATGTACGAGTTATCGCCATGTCGCCATAACAGCTTGCTCAATAATCGTCATGAGTATGTCCCACAAATCACCATATGTTTAACTATCGCATACATGAACGATGGAATGATTCAGACACATAAATTTATATATATATATGTATATATATATATTAGGTGTTGGAATTAATTCGTAGCGTTTTACAAGTGATGGGAAGTACTTTCATTAATGTATTTTTTAATGCTCATGTGAAAGACACATAAATTTATATATATGTATATATATATATATATATATATATATATATATACCATATATGTATACCATTCAGTGCGAGATATAGAAGTGCTGATCCACTTTGAACTCCGTTTTTTTGGGCATGATATTATTTTATTTAAACTAAGCAGAAGCTGATTTTCCACGTTTTTATAATTTTTTATATATTTTTTTTAGAACTATCATTATTATCAAATTTTCAATAAATATTAATAGCTGTTTCAACAGAAAAGAATTGTAAAATTAGTTTTCATTCGAATAGCGCCAATCTCTGTTCTAGATATCGAAACAGAAATGATCCAGTGATCGATTCTTTATTTGTTTGCATATCTATTTATTAACTTGACTATAGCGATTACTGGTCCATAGAATGTCTAGATAATAACAATTACGGATCTAATTTTTTTATTTGGATTTTGGATACATTATTATTCGATTTATAAGAATTTTTTTCGGCCCACCAATTTCCAGTAATCAACAAATATGGCGATTACTCGAACGACTACGTGCTTCGGAATCAGTGCTTGTCATGTAAAAAAAACTATGAAATTTGTATGAAATAATAATTTATGATAGTGTAAAACTGCGATCTCGATTTATAACTCGAAGCTCAATTTACCTCATGCAAGTTGCCAATATTCCAAAATTGATGTCATGAGATGTCAAGTGTCTCGTAACAGTGTCTCGTAACTTCACAATGAAGCGTTTGATCGAAATCACGCATAGGTTCAGTTATTACACATATTCGATTTAATCAATAGAATGAATTCATATATACAAGTTTCATAATGTAACATAACATAAATACTTCCTCGAAACCAATAAAAATATCAGCAAGCCTCACGATCGACAGAAAACACTAAAATACATCTTTAATATGTGAACTTGGCGATTACTAGTACCCTGACGACCAACTATCTTATATATAATATATATATATATATATATATATATATATATATAAGTTATAATCTTAGAACATATATACTGGAAGGGCCATACTGTATGTAACCAAAGTATGTAATAAAAGTGTCTCCAATATCTATTTGTTCTTGTCTGAATACTTGTTTGCTGTGCGCTTACGCGTGATGATATCGCGTAATTCGAACTTGAAATCTTGAAAAAATGAAAAAATCGATTCTAATCTCGAAAAAATATAGAATAGTTATCAAAATGTTATTTGAAATTTGAAAATGATGAAAAAAAATATTTCCAGCTATCAAATTGTCGTTGTTAATTATAATTATACACTTAAAATACACACATATTTTATATATTTATATAATTTAAATTAATTCAGTACATAATCTTAGAGCTTGGCTTAAAATTTTCTACGAAGTAAGACTATATTTATGCATGAAGAGATATTTTAATTTACTTCGTTGATATTTTGAGACATATAACGCAATAACGTCCCATTTTTTAAATAATTTTATATACTTTCGTTTCGCGAGCTTCGAAAGTTGAACGTATGTACATATGGATATTCGTAATCGATGCATGTGCATTACAGTGAAACATTCAGACAAAGACAGATAGATGTTGGTGCCATCAATAGTCACTTATGGCCCTTTCAGTATGTATATTCTAAGGTTGTAATATATTATATGTACATATAATTATTCACATATAAATATGAATTATAATAAATCAGATGGGATCATTCTGCAAATTGGTATGTATCGAAAGAAAATGCACAGTTTATAAAATCAAGAGGGAGATACGTCAACATTTTACTCGACGATGAGGATTATGAATATATGAGCGGTCACGTAATTGATGGGAAAAATTTGCTACCCGCGACAAGTTATTTGGGACTCGTTTGGAAAATTATTGCCATGATGAAAGGAGAAATACAAACAACGCTATCGATAGTTTTCCAAGATGTAAAATTTATCCGTGCTACTCATTTGTCGAAAAATGATACTGTGGAACTATATATTGCAATACAGACAGGTATTTACGAGATTAATTATTTTAATTTAAGTGGATTTTCTCTGAAATTTTCATAGCAGTATTCATTGTACCTTAAATTATTGTTTAAACATTTATTATAATATAATTCTTTGCAAGGCAGTTGAAAAAAATATCTGGATCCGATAGATTAGTGATGAATCATTATATTGATCACAGTTAATGTAGTATGATGATAAAAATGCAGTATAATCAAATATATACGAATATTACAGATGGAAAGTTTGAAATAACTGAAGGAGACAGCATTGTCGTAACAGGTACAGTATACGAGACATTGAATCCAGAACAAGAAATGATTCCGACAGATCTATTATCGGAGAATAGTGATGAAGATGAAAGTATGACTGCACGAGATGTCTACAAAGAATTGAAATTGCGTGGATACCAATACAAAGGCTTATTTCGTGGATTAAAGAGTGCCTCTATTTCGGGAACCCAAGGACATATCGCTTGGAAAAATAATTGGGAATCTTTTATGGATAATATGTTACAAATGATAATTATCGGATATGATACTAGGGAATTGTGTGTTCCTACGAGTATTCAAAAATTAGTGATCAATCCAATGCTTCATGCTTCGAAGTTACAGGAAGCAGAAGTTACAACAGACATGGATAAACGTAATTAATTTTTATTACTAATTCATCGTTCAATTCGTAAATATTGTGTAAAAATCTCAATAATATGAAGCATATTATTTTACTTGTCTTATTACAGTATTACAGGTACGAGTATATAAAAAGCTAGGCACGATAAAAGCTGGCGGAATAGAGATTCGAGGTCTGAAAGCTACTCAGATCTCTCGCCGAAAATTAGCTCAAGATGTTGTTATCGAGGAACATACGTTTGTAGCTCATTGTGATCGCGCTAAGGTTTCCTTGAACGAAGCAATTCGGTTATCGGGTCAACTCATACTGGAAGATCATCAAATTATCAAAGTGCAAGCCGTTGAGCTAGTGGAAGATGTCGATGATGTTGAATTAGAACATCTCTCGTCTTCGTTATTGCTTGAGGCATTTCATGATATACCAATGATACAAATGAATGTCATTCTATTAACATCATCAAATCGTTTCATGCCAGAAGACTTACCGCAAAACTTCTCAATCAAAGATTTTGAAAAATCATCTTCGGACAAAGCTTCAATTGTCGCTGGATTCAATCTTTTGACCAAACAACATGCATCATTACAGCGACTGTTGCCATTTTTGAAAAAGGGTGGTTATCTGTTGACTCGTGAGAACTGTGACTTAACTGATTATAAAAAATATTTGCAGCAATACGAATTAAACGTTATATTCGAAAAACGCACTGATAAAGAACTAGTTGTGCTTCTGAAAAAAAAAGTTTCAATAAGAGAAAGAACTGTTGTTTATATAAGTAATGATAACTTTAATTGGCTGGAGAATCTAAAGTCACTTTTGAGTAATGAAAACAATCTTGACAGTAATAGTAGAATTATAATTGTGGGAGAGAAAAATTTTGAGTGCGGTTTATTGGGTTTTATTAATTGCTTGAGAAAAGAGCCAGGTAGTGAACTTGTTAGGAGTGTGCTCATTCAAGATGAAAAAGCTCCTAAATTTTCTCTTCAAGACCCCTTCTACTTAGAGCAATTGCAAAAAGATATGAACATTAATGTATTGCGACCTAATAAAACTTGGGGATCGTACAGACATTTAAAATTACCACAACCGGAACCGAAACTTGTACTAACCGGCCATGTCTGCCAAACGGTACGTGCAAATTTTTTCAAAACGTATAATTGATACTTTTATCATTATAATAGGGATGTACCGATCGTAAAATTATCGGATATCAGATATCGGATATACGGAAAAAATGTAACATTGGATATCCGATATCCGGATATGCGAGAAGGCAAATTTCCGAATCGGATATCTGATCGGATTCCGAGACAATCTAATAAAAAGCTGAGTAAAAAAATTAATAGAAAAAGAAGCAGAAAGAGACTGTAAGAACGAAGTAGTGATAATAATTATGATTTTAATGTTAACGTCCAAGTTTAATTATTAACTGAGATGATAACTGTACAGAAAAGAATTGTAATTTTACGGCAATATAAGATATTATAACATTATGAGTATGCATATTTATTTGTAGAACATTTATATAATAAAAATCAACAATTTAATAATATTGTCCAAATATTCATAAAATTCGTGGTAAATACGCTCAATTAAATAAAATTATTAGGTACTAAACTTAGTTTCCTCGTAGATAAACAATAACAATAATTATATTAGGACTCTCGAATTTTAAATAATACAAATAGATAAATATAATAGGCTAATGAGAGTCAGCAACGACAAACGGCGCAATTATTTAGTGAACAATCAATACTCAGATAATGGATTGATGTCTTCTTTGTTTTGAACGTTTCGACTCTCTTTGGAGTCCTCCTCAACAAGAATGATACAAATATAATTAACTCACTTATTCATAATGCCTAAGTTACTCGCAAATTGATAAAGATGCAGCGTTGTTAATCATCACGGTCTGCATCAATGATGCAAACTTTCAATATAAAATTTCAACCGAATATTATTTCCGGATACTAATAATATCCGTTTTCCCATCGGATAATAAAAAAGTGCCGAATAATATCAAATATCAGATACTTTTCGGATATCCGGTGCATCCCTACATTACAGTATTATTTATTTATAGTCTATTAAATGAAAAATTCTGCTTGACAGACGGAGAATTGAATACTGTCACGAAATTTCTTTTTAAAATTCTGTTTTATATATATATATCATGTGATAATACAAGCTTTGTTTTTTCGTAGGTTCGTGGTGACTTGAATTCATTTCGTTGGATAGAAAATAATTTATCTGTCGTGTCTCGTCGTGAGGATTTAGTGCACGTTGTTTACTCATCTCTGAATTTTAAAGATGTAATGCTCGCCACTGGTAAATTAACATTTAATGAGACGATTTTGCAAAGACGGTTATTTCAGTATTTTCCTCTTGGATCAGAATACGTGGGTTTTAATGCTGACGGACAACGTGTAATGGGAATTCGTCATACTAAGTATGTAATGCTGCAAGATATTATTGTGCTGTGATGTCATAGAATAGACAATAATTAAAAATTACTCTTACTAGTTGCATAGCAAATGTTGTTGAGAAAGACAAAGATCTTTGTTGGTATATACCCGATGCATGGACGTTTGAAGAAGCAGCAACCGTCCCGTGCGTTTACAGCACGGTTTATTTAGCCTTGTACATTTATGGGAAAATAAAAAAAGGTGATAAAGTACTTATACATTCTGGTGCTGGAGGCATTGGACAAGCAGCTATTCATCTCGCTCTTAAAGAGGGATGTGAAATATTTACTACCGTGGGCACGAGTGATAAACGGGATTTTATTAGAAAAATATTTCCGACTATTTTGGATGAACATATTGGAAATTCTCGAGATACTAGTTTTGAACAAATGATAATGCAGCAGACGAAAGGTCGCGGAGTCGACATTGTGTTAAATTCATTGGCGGAAGAAAAATTAATCGCCTCCATTCGGTGTTTAGCTCAAAATGGTCGATTCTTAGAGATTGGCAAATTCGACCTTATTTCTAATAATCCCCTAGATATGTCTATATTTCAAAAAGGTATCAGTTTTTACGGGGTTACAGTTGAAAATATGATGATAAAAAATAGTGATTCCAAATGGAAACATTTATTGGTCACATTGCTCGAAAATGGTCTAAGTGATGGAACAATTAAACCAATTCAAGCAAAAATTTTTCCAAAAACAAATATTGAAGAAGCTTTTAAATATATGGCGAGTGGAAAACATATAGGAAAGGTATGCTTGTGATGATAAATATTATAATAATTGAAAAGTTTATTCGTAAATAATAGCATTCTATAGTCCTACTCACATATAACATGAATTCTTTTAATACGATTATTTTTTAGATAATTATAAATATTCATGAAAAAGATGAACCTTTAGATAAGCACATTCTCGCGTATCGTCGCTATTATTGTCTCAAAGATAGGAGTTACATTATACTAGGAGGTCTAGGCGGATTTGGTTTAGAATTAACTGATTGGCTTATAATTCGTGGTGCCAGAAACATCGTTCTGATTTCAAGAAATGGAATAAAAAACGGTTATCAACGCATGAAAATTCGACTATGGAAATCGTACGGCGTAAACGTTCTGATCATCAAGAATATCGATGTTGCTGATCTCAAAGATTGCGAATATATTTTAAGGACTGCAGAAAAAGAAGCTCCAGTGGACGCTATATTCAATCTGGGTGTGGTACTGAAAGATGACATCTTCAAAAACCAAACTGCAGAATCATTTGCAGAGTCCTTCCAATCGAAGGCTCGTGCAACGCAAATGTTAGACAAGCTTTCTAGGGAAATCTGTCTTAATCTGCGGCATTTTGTGGTATTCTCTTCCGTTTCTTGCGGCAGAGGAAATGCTGGTCAGACAAATTACGGCATGGCCAACTCTATTATGGAAAGAATTTGTGAAAAAAGAGCGGAGAAAGGATTGCCGGCATTGGCGATTCAGTGGGGAGCTGTAGGTGACTTATTCTTTCATAAATACTTATTATATTTGTTTGCTAGTCCAGTTTACAAAAAAGCATTATACTATAGATCGTAATAATTTTACATTCTACATTGTAGACATAAGTAACATAAAGCTTGTGAGTCCAAATTCATCTCTGGCCGAACTTGGAATGGACTCCATGATGGCCGTAGAAATCAAGCAAATTCTGGAACGAGAATTTGATATATTTGTCACAGCACAAGAGATGCGAAATCTTACTTTCGCGAAACTCACTAAGATGTCCGTTCCAATCATCAATGACAATGACAATGACAATGACAATGACAATGACAATGACAATGACAATGACAATGACAATATGGATGATGAAAAGAAATTGAACAAAGAGATGTCAAACGTTACATTTTTTGTTGGCGTTGCATTAAGAGATGAAGATTTTATTTCCCCAATTGAATTTTTGACTAACAAACAGAACACTACGACTGAAGTACTTCTTATTCCGGGTATTAACGGATGTGATAGTATATTTAAAATCATAATACCACATATTAAATTTTCAACATCATTGTTGCATTATAATACAAACAACATGGATTGTACAAACACGATAATGGAGACTATTAATCGTTTCACAAACGTATGCAATCGTATTAGTAATTTCATTTTACGTTACAAAGTATTATTTGCATTTAAAAGATATAAATTTCATTGAATACTTTGGATATTTTTACAGCACATACTTTCAAAGCTAACAGACGGAAAAGATTTTATAATAGTAGGGTATTCCTTTGGATCTTTTATTGCAATTGAAGTAGCAAGAAGATTAGAAGCTATGAATTTTAAAGGCCGACTTGTTCTTATCGACGGTGCACCTGAGTTTTTACAAACAATTTTCCAAACTTTAGAAATAGATTTTGATGAAACAAATTTTCAGATTGAAATATTAACTAATATTCTAGAAGTCTATTCATATGCACTTTTGTTTTGAACTTACATTGAAACTAATCTACGATATACTTACATTATTTTTCGATTTCTTTATGTAAATCAATATCAATTCTTTCGTTCTGTCTTGTATACAAAAACAAAAATTTTTATATTGTCGTAGATTTTAATGGAATTGAAGAAATGTGAGAGTTGGGATGAAAGATTTAATATTTTTGCTAAACAATTCTCAGTTATATGTACATATCTCTCACTTTCGAATTTAAAGACACTATGTATAACGCTTTACAAACATATATCCGCTTTCCGAGAATATGATTTTTCTACTTTACTGCCTATTAAGTCTCCCATAACATTGATAAAAGCTACATCCTCGTTCAAAACACCAATGATCGCAGAGGATTATGGTTTGCACAAGGTATTTAAAAAAATTTATTATAATTTGTACTGAATAAGTCAAATTTAACAAAAGTTTTTCTTATATATATAATGATGTATATAATTATTTAAGGTAACTCAAGGTGTGGTAAAAGTGCATTGTATTAAAGGTAATCATGTGACAGTTATGAAAAATAAAAAAGTGGCGGCTGCAATTAACGGAGAATTACCATTTACAATTTGATGTTTTAATTTTTAAGTCATTTTAGTCAATATTTGATAAACAAATTGCAATTAGCGCAAAAAATGTTACAAATATCTTCTATCAACTCAAATTATTGTATAATATTAAAGAGAGTGAAATTTGGATGATTATTGTTATAGATCAGCTAATATAAATTTAAGTCCATCATTTGTGATATTTCGTATACTTCAGATTTCTACGTAAATTTTGATAAAGCATATCAATGCTGTCTAGTTATTTAATGAATTCATTAAATCGCATGCAGACTACTAAGCTTGCGTTCTAAAACTGTACTCAAATATGTTCATCACATGTTTTCATCATCTATTTTTATTATTCACTTTATATTGAACAAGAAAAGAAGCTTACAAAAGAATAATAAACGTTTTTGTTTATGGTAAATAAATTATGTTTATGAGGTTTTTCAGTTTATTAATTTTTACATTTTTCTTACAATTAGAGAACTATCAATAGTTCCATTTGTAAGAAAAATTAAAAAATTAATAAACTAACAAACTTTATAAACATAATTTGTTTATCATAAACAATGTGGACGTTTATTATCAATTCTTTTACAAATAGCTTTCCTTTTTCAATATAAAGTAAATAATAAAAATAAGTAATAATATGTGGTATGCGAATACCATTTCGTAAGCCTAGTAGTCTGCATGCGATTTAATAAATATAATAAATAATTAGTATTGCACTGGTTGTACGTCTTATCCAAAGTATAGAAACTTGAAGTATAAAAAATTTTAAAAATATAAACTTAATTTATATTAACTAGCTTACAATCCTTAAAATTTCATTTTTCTTATTATAATTTGAGCTGATAGATGTTTGCAATATTAGAGCAAATAGCTTTTATTGTTGGTATAATTAGTGGTTTATTATATTAGTGGTGTAATTAAATATTATATAATAAGCAATAATATTATAAAGGAATTTTTTACTGTCCTCCATGTAAATGTGATAAATAACAAAAAAAATACTGATAATAAGAAACGTTTTAGACTGACCCAACATAGAAATAATTTCCTAGCGTCTTAAACGATTTCTCGATCTCGTTTTTTGAATTTCAAAACATACTTTTGATGTAGCTTTTGTTTACTACATCAGTGTCGAACTCCGGTGCGATTACATATTCTATTTTTCATTCCTTCGTATGTAGTGATCCGGATTCAGAGACCACTGTTGCGTATGTAATTTCGTAAAGATTCGATCGATGATTGTGACTTTTCACAATCATCTTTCCTCATTGCATACCAAATTTGTTCACAGACATCATCATATTAATCTTACATAAATCTGAATACTTAAATAAATATTATAAAGGACATATAAGAGTCAAATAATTGTTTAAAAGTGTAGATGTCACATTAATAGAAAATTGAATTTTATTAAGATTAGATAAACATACGTATAGACATTACATGTTTCGGCTTTTTATTAAGCCCTCTTCAGATGATCCTTAACATTTTGCAATTTCTTGAGTATATATTTTTTCATCTGTAGTTTACACCTTATTCATGATAAAAAGTTGAATGTTCGATGGGTACCTTTTAAAAAACGAAATTTTCCTCTCAATCGATTTACAGATCGAATGTTTAAATTTTCTAGATATTGCATATGTTACAAAATTGACGTTACTTATTATATGTGAGAAGGAGAATCTTTTCAATTTATCTCTTTTTAAACACTCACCGTACATTCGGACAACTCATTGTAATGATCAAAAATATAAAAATCGTGGAACATTTGGTCAAATATTCAAAAGTCGTAAATAAATTACGAGTATAAAAACAAGAGTGAATTAATATTATTCACAGTCCAAAAGTTAAAATTAAAATTAAAGTAAAAGACTACTGTTTTAAATGACTGATCTGAGATATATTATCAGTATGACTTCTCACCACTTATTGATTTTAAATTTTCGATAGATTGGTGTGACAAATATAAACAGTGTCAAACTTTGTTTATAATAGATATATATGCTTTATTGAGACCTTCTGTATCGGTTTGAAGGCTATCGTCTTGTTTTTCAATGTTCATCATTTTAGAGATCAGTCGTTTATTATATTGATTATTCTTCATCTAAAACTTTAATATTATCTCAATCGAAATCGTGTTGCGTCTGCATTCTATGTTCAGTTTTCACAAAACGGGTAGTCGTGTTCTAATTAATATGTTTGCGATATTCTGCAATTCTTGTTTTTAGTTGTCTACTCGTTTGTCCAATATAAGATGCATCACATTTTTTGCAACAGATTTTGTAGACGACGTTAGATTTTGTTGATTGTTCTAGACGATCTTTTTGAACTTTGTACTTATTTAATTAATATTGTGAAAAGAAATTTTAATGTTTTTATTGTTAATTTGTTTAAATTTATCTGTGAACCTTGAAATAAAAGGTATCGCAAACCATGAGATGTCATTTTTCAATTCTTTATTCTCTTCTTTGTTGTTACGTATTTTGAATTCTCTTCTTTGAATGCTTCTTGATGTTATCAGTTTTTTGCAAAGATTTTTTTTTATTATTTCATAAGTTTCAGTATCTTTAAACATTTCTGTTACTTTTTCTATATAGAGATCTCTATCCAACGCTACTGTAACATTACCTTTGTCCGCATGAGTAAAAATAATTTGGTTGTGATTTTATAATAGATACTTTTTTGTGACTAATTTTAAATTTGATAATTTGTAATGGGAGTTGTGAAGAGAGGAGAAGACACTATGTTGTTGAGTATGGGAATTGAATGGTTCATTATATTCATTTTCTTAATAATAGGAAATTTTCAGGTGCTATGTTCAACGCTCTTAATACAATCAAAAATGATGTTATTTCTATTAGGGAGAGCAAAGTTTTCACCTAATTGTAAAAAACATTGAACATCGTAAAGAATGGACAGTAAGTTTTATCGACAAATCCATAGCCAAAGGCGGATAATTTCGTAATAAAAATCTAATCGAGTTTGTTGCCAATTGGTCTAAAATTGGTTAATGTTTTGCTATCAGGAAACATATATTTAATAATATAAACAATTATTTTCTATATAATTTTTGTTAATTAACCTGATACTACCTTATTAATGACTGTAGAGTTTCTATAGTCGTTCTCATGCGCTACTATAGAAATTATTAAAAACTATATAAACCTATACAAATTCTATATGACCTATAGTTTTTTATATAAAATTTTAAGCAGAGAAAGAAATTGTTTAATAAAGAATTGCAGTCGACTTCAAAGAACAAGAATACTAACATAAATATAAGTACGGACACGCCTAAATATAAGAAATATTTCATTACTCTTTTTATAAAAAATGTAACGAATATGATCACTACTTGTTTAAATAAATCGTTGGTCACGATAGGTTACAGATGTTTAAATCAACAAATTTATAAAAGTACAAAAAGATACTACTGAAATTAAATTTAAAAGCAATGTAATATACAAAATTAATTGTAAAGATTGTAGCGTATTTTATGTAGACCAGACAAAAAGACAGTTAAGAACAAGAATTAAAGAGCATTAATAACATAAAATTAGATTTATCTACTCATTATTATATTTATTTGGAAATTTTACTTTAACACCGATTTTAATATATGATTCGTCCAAACTTTCCGCCTTTATGTATGCCGTCTGTTCGTTCTTTAATGCAAAGCATTTCAGAATACATTAGAAATTACAATCATTCATTTGATTGGGATAATATAAAAGTATTAGATTCTGAAGTAAACTACAATAAAAGATTAATTTCTGAAATGCATTGCATTAAAGAAACGCGGTATAAATTTACATAAAAGCACGGAATCATATATTTGCCTTAAAATCGGTTTTAAATAAAATTTACATCTTGACCTCTATAGTAAAAATATTGTCAAGAGAGTTTAATCATTTCGTCATTGAATGGCGAGAAAAAGCAAAATCCAAGGTTAAAATTCTATTTTATTATTAAAATTTTATTATTAAAATAGAATTTTAACCTTG